GATTTTTTGTGTGCCGTCGACGAAATTCTCTCTGTAGCGCTTGATCAGAGATTGCGAATTTAATTTTGTTTTACCTTTCAGTGACGGATGCCACTGGCGGTTATTGCGGTATTACCTCGGTAACAGCGATGGCGATTAGATGAGAATTTCTTTTTCGAGAGGCTGTAAGTGGCTAGAGTATATTCTTTTCGAACTCTTCTCTGACTCGGTTAGAGGGCTTGCGTGTCGCTGTTATCTTCAAGGCATTGCTGCCTGGAGCTTTGAAATTTACTCCTAGTAGGTCCTCCACATCAGATTTGCTTAAGGGTGCAGATCAAGTCAAAAGTATTTCACTCCTGGATGTAGATGGTTAAGTCGCTTATAAATCACCATACGGTATCCTCTCTCGTGTAGGTTCATAAGGTGCGTCTGAATCTCAAGCAAATGAGTTCATTCATTCATCGTGCCATCCAGCCAACTTGCCACATGGCCCTAATAGTCTACCCGGTAACGCCATAAAACAGCAAAGACTGCATGGCTAGATAGAGCTATAAAATTGTAGCGTCGGGGCCCAATGGTTATCTGCATCGATGCAGGGGTGTTCGTTGATTCTCGAGTCAAGATATGGAAGCAATTTATTCAACAGAACATATGCGATATCACAGTATGTTGTACAGGATATTCAGCATAAAACTGTATTACTTCCGCTGGCTGGTCCTTGAAAACTGACTTCCGGCGGATACCTAGTTTTCAAATGGCCAATAAACGCTAATCTGTGATCAACGGAATTCCGGAAATCAACCAAGAATATTTTGAATTTTGCACCAGTCAATCACAGGTTTGTTTGGCGGGGCTGGCTTTGCGCTCGAATGTTCCGTGGCAGTTCACTTGCTACGGCGGTATTACCACTTGACGGAATATGAATCTGGGAAACTTGAATGCTTGCCCTCTGGCGGGCAAGGAAAAGGAACTAGCTGAAGAGACGTCACTCCCAACCCAACTGTAGATAAATGGAATATTTTCTTTCAGACGCCGAAGTTCCAAGGTACTCGACTATGACAATGGGTGGAAGTTTTTTTGTTCTAGAGCTAGTCCGACCTTGTCAGCACAAGCAAGATTGGCTATTTGTCATTTGCGTCAACCCTGACTATCTGTGTTTCACAAAGGTTCCCAGTGTAGAAGGAATTTGCCCGCTGAACTTAAATTAGACAGTAGACGCTAACTGGATGTGAGGAGAGTGAGTGCCTTTAAATTAGTTCGTGGATACAAGTCTCTGCATCTAGCGCAGATTTGCATGATGATTCCTCCCTGAAGAACGTTTATAGAGTCCTGAAAGCAGCAAGGAACACGAAATCCATCCTTTTCATGGTGGACATCGGTGCGTATCAGAACGTTCGTTTTTATTACATGGCCTGTTTATGATGAATAGCTTTATAAGCAAAAGAATGTCTATAAATGCTATAAATGCACCTGATACAGATCACCAATAGATTATGTTTGTTTTCACACTGCCGCCCAGCCA